TACCAGCTACCCATTCCAAAACTCAGACCCTGATTTCTGGGCCTTTTGTGGTGAGAGTTCAACTAATTATATACAGCAATACAAAGTGTCTATACAAGACACTTTGTATTGCTGTATATAATTAGTTGATAGCCTATAATTTGCCCATTATAGTTTTGTTAAAGATGTGTGGGCCATTTTTTTTTTTTTTTTTAATTTTTATTGTGAATTGACTGAATGTTTACAGGGTAGATTATCAGTTTTACATTTAATAGATCATATTTTGTATCATTGCAGTTGTTACAATGTACATGTACCATCTGTCAATAGTATTTAACTCTATTTTCTCTTTTTTACGTACACATACAAAATAGAAAATACATACACATTTAAATGTCCAAAGGGCACACTTTGCAAGCCAGCCTCCAGTCCTCAGGCACACAGCCTTTTGCATTCCATGGGCCTAGAGTGCTCAGCTGTGCTATCTCTTGATGCCACCGTCTCTGCTGTCTCCAATTTTCTAGTTAGAATCCGATGTTCCACTCATGTTCTTCCCTCGTGCTGGTCCTAGGGTAATCTGTTCCTGAAATGGAAGATTAACTCCTCCCCCCCTTTTAGTTGCACATCTTCTACATTTACACTGTGAGGCTGGCATTAATCTTGTGAACAATTAACACACAATTGAATTGTAAAATCCTAACCCCTTCCTTCTTCACCCGACCCATTTAGAAAAGAAGAAAACTATTCAGTGGGGATTCTACCTTACCCTCCTCATTCTGAAACTAAGCACACTCATGAAAGCTCTTAAGCCAGCCACTTCATGCCTTTATAGCCCCCCATTTTTGAAAGCCTGATCGTTGATAGGAAGAATCCTCCTCTTTCGGTTGGAATTTTGAGCAACTACATCCATAAGCAAAGGTCCAGTTCATCAAATTGTAGCAAATTAACACTTGGTCCCTGAATCTAACTTCTTTATCTTTATTTGACCGAGTTTTGGTCAGCTAGCAATGCATGCTATGTTAAATGGGTACTATGTGCAAGTTTGGTAGAGCTTGCATGGAGCTGGCCATTTTAAAAATACAGATGTGAATGTCTTCTTATTCTTATATGTTTGCAGATTTATTTTTTTTTATTTTCTCCCCTGTGGATTATAATGCATAATGCTAAATTAAGATAAAGACCATTCCTTTTTTTTTTTTTTTTGTATACTATATATGCTAATTTTAAAAGGGAACATGTACAAACAAATGTGGAGAGAAAAGGCAGAGAAGGAAATATAGTTAATAATTTGTGGTTATTGCTGATAATAGGAATATGAGATATGGGTAATGTTTAATTGCTTTCTGCATGGGTTTCTAGATTTTCTATAGTACACAAAACAGCTTCTAATCAGAAACAACTTATAAAAATGTATGAACAACGAAAGTGACCTTTTTTCCCCCCCTGAGACTGAGACTAAGCTCCCTAAACTCAAACCCAACCAGACCAAACCAGTCAATTCCAACACATAGCAACTCTATAGGACCGAGAAGAACTGCTTCCTAGTGATATGTAAGTCTCGATGGGACCAGACAGTCTCACCTTTTTACCATAGAGCTATTGGTGGGTTTGAACCACGAAGCTTGCAGTTAGCAGCCTGCTGTTTAACCCACTTTGCCACCATGGATCCCTAAACTCCCTAACCCATGGCCAGTGAGTTGATTCTGTGTCCTATAGCGATCCTAGATAGCATTTCCAAATGGTAAATCTTTATGAGAGCAGATCACCTTATCTTTCTCCCATGGAGCAGCATGGTGGGTTTGAACCATCAACTTTCTGATTAGAAGCCAAACACCTAACTCACAGTGCCACCAGATCTCCTTAAAAACCTAGACGTAAAACCAACAACTTTGTGTCGGTCATGGCCAATTCTTCAGTTTTGACTGTTGGAGATGTTATTATACATATCTTGTAGTATAAAATTGTTAGCTAAAATGTTTTCCTTTTTCTCCCTCATGCCTTATAGTATAATAGTTCCGTTTGTATTCCTAATCTAGATGGTCAATAAAATTAACTCTGATACAGTGATTTGTCAGGTATTCATTTATGCAGAGATACAAGATTTTATTTTTTAATACTAAATAAATGGATTAAATAGTTGGAATCACATTTCAAAATTTGTTGAGGTTAAATACCTTCAAGTTGTTTCCAACCCTGCATCTTCATGGGAGCTGAAAGTCATCTTTCTCTTGCAGACTGGCTGGTGGGCTCAAGTGGACCTTGTGGTTCACAGTCCAGTACTTAAACTGACTGCTCTCAATCAGATTTACATAAGAATTTATGGTGAAATTCAACTTTGTAATAAGTTTATTTTATCCATTTGAAAAGACTATAAAATGTGAAAACAAGATGTGTTTGACTTTCTTTGGACCAAGTATCTAATGTTGTTGTTGTTGTTAAGTGCCATCAAGTCGGTTCCGACCCATAGCGACCCTGTACAGGGTTTCCGAGGGTGTAAATCTTTACGGGAGTAGAAAGCCTCATCTTTCTCCCGCGGAGCAGCTGGTAGTTTCGAACCACTGACCTTAAGGTTCGCAGCTCGATTCGTAACCACTACGCTACCAGAGCTCCGTAAGTATCTAATATCAGTTGCTATATGTACAGAAAAAAAATACATGTTAAAAGAAACACTAAGATATACGAGGGAATTTCAAAAAGTTCATGGAGAAATCCTATTATCTCTCAATTCCATTTTGCCTTGAACTTTCTGAAGCTCCCTGGGAGTAAAAGGCGTCCAGTAGACTTCTCTTTTAAATCAAAGGGAGATACCATCAGAAGCACCAGAGCTGAGGAAGTATTAAACCTTGAGAATACTGTATTTTGTTAATGCAAGTAGTAGTGTGAAGTTATGTCCAGTGTTACTTCAAATTTAAATAGGCACCTCAGTATCAACAAAATAAACTGTGAAGTAAAGGAGTATTGGAAGTTGACCTACTATTTATGTGACTTGGGGAAGTAGATTGGTAAATCCAGTGTGTGTTCAAAAACTAAGTCTTATACTCTCTTTTAAAAAACTTTAGAAAGAAAACATTATGGGGTTTCTTTTCAATTAGTTTATTTCTTAAGAGTTCTGGTAGAGTTATTGTTAAGTGCCAAAGAGTTGGTTTCGACTCATAGTGACCCTGTGTATGGTTTCTAAGGAGTGGCTGCTGAGTTTAACCACTGACCTTGTGGTTCAAACCAACATAGGGTTCCAGTGCTTTATCCCACACCACACTAGGACTTCTCTGGTGGTGTACCATGGAGTCGGTTCCGACTCATAGCGATTCGGCATAGGGTTTCCGAGGTGGTTACGAGTCGGGCTACGAACCTCAAGGTCAGCAGTTCAAAACTACTGGCTGTTCTGAGGGAGAAAGATGAGGCTTTCTGCTCCGTAACGGATTCCTCTGGTAGAGTATTCAAATAAAAGTTACTCAGTTTTGCTTTGGGATGAAAGACGGCATTCAAACCACTCCCCAGTACACATAGCTCATTTGTGCTAATGATTAATTAGTAAAAATTTACCATGTTTTACTTTGTGGCAACCCTTTTGTGTGCCTTTAAATTAGGTTATTTTTTTTCTTTTTTAAGTTCTAGTGGTGGTGGTGGTGGCCATGTGTCGTAGAGTCAGTTCTGACTCATAGCAACCCTGTATAGGGTTTCCGAGACTATAAATCTTTACAGGAGCAGAAAGTCTCATCTTTCTCCCATGAAACTGCAGGTAGTTTCAAACTGCTGACCGTGAGATTAAGTAGCCCAACTTGTAACCACTATGTTACCAGATCGCCTTGAAATTCTAGTAGTACATCTTAATTTCTTATCCTTTTCCCCTTAATTAAACAATACTTTCCCTTAATTAATTGAATAAATCTGTTTTCAGTATGGTAGTCACCAGACACATGTGGCTACTTAAGTTTAATATCATTTAAAATCCAGAACCTCTACAGTAACTACATTTCCCAAGTGCTTACTAGACACATGTGGCTAGGGACTTCTATATGAAAGCACAGTATAGTTAAAAGATTTTAAACTACCTGCAGGTCCATAGGAGAGAGGTGAGGCTCTCTGCCCCCGGAAAAATTATTTACAGTCTCAGAAACCCTCTACAGGGTTGCTATGAATGTTGTTGTGAAGTGCCGTCGAGTTGGTTCCAACCCATAGCAACCCTGTATAGGGTTTCTGAGGAGCATCTGGTGAGCTTGAACCACCAACCTTGCAGTTCAAACAGCTTTGCAGTCTGGCGCATTAAACTACAGTGCATTAACCCACAGTGCCACACCAGGACCCCTCGCTATGAATAGCATAGTGGATTACAAGTTGGACTGCTAACCACAAGGACAGTAGTTCGAATCCACCAGTCACTCTATGGTAAAAAGATTAGATTTTCTGCTCCCATAAAGATTTATAGCCTCAGAAACCCTAGATAGGATTGCTATGAGTTGGAATCGATTCAGTGGTACACAACAACCATAGTCGAAGGGAGTACAGTGGCTCCCTAGAAATGCACTGGACTGTGTACCACAAAAGCTGTAGTTCGAGCTACACCATGGGAGAAAGATGAGGCTTTCTGCTTCACAAAGATTTTAAAAGCTTGGAAACCCTAAACAGGGTCACTATGAGTCAGAAGCGACTTGATTGCACTAACATAGCATAACATAGTTGAAGAAGTTTTCCAAAATTGCGAAAAGCTCAATTGGATGGTACTTGTCTAAATTCTAAGGAGGTCTTGTAGTGTAGTGACTTAACACATTGTTCTGCTAACTGCAAGATCAGCAGATCGGCTCCACCAGGCAATCCATGGGAGAAAGATGAGGCTTTTGCTCCTTCAAGAAGTGCAACCTCCAAAACCCTAAACAGGGCAATTATGGGTCAGAACAGACTCGAGGGTTCACAGCCAGCTAGGTCTAAATTATTAGGATAGCTTTTAAATGTCTTGTGTTTATTTTCCTGTATCTTAGAGTATATTTGTGTTATGTCATTTAAAATTTTCTTTCTTTTTTCAGTTTAAAAGGATGCTTAATCGGGAGCTCACCCATCTCTCTGAAATGAGTCGGTCTGGAAATCAAGTGTCAGAGTACATATCAAACACATTCTTAGGTGAGAAGAACATGCGATTGTTTTTCATTTTAGTTGTTTGTTTTCTGGAGTGATATAGACAACTAATTCATTTTGAAAAACCACACAAATAGTAAGAATTACATTTATTTTCATTTGTCATATTAATAGTTTGAACCTCAAAGCCTTAGAATCAAAGGTAACGTTTTTTTTAGTCTTTTAATTTTTACTCAACTTTAGGGGTTCTCTGAATTAAAGTTTTATATTGCCAGTGCTTTCAGAGTACTGAACTCTAAAATCGACCTCTGCATGTAGTCAGAAATACTTGTGAAATGTCAAGTATTGCTGGGTATTTATTGATAAGCCAAAGTGACTAATAGTGGATGGATAAACCTAATTTCACTATCTCTGCTCCCTGACAAGGGACATCATGCTGGTATGGTGGAGAATCAATGACAAAGAGGAAGAAGACCTCCAATAAGTTGGGTTGACGCGGTAGCAGCAACATTGGGCTGAGACATCACAGTGTTTTGTTCTGTTGTACATAGGGTCACTCGCTATGAGTCAGAACCGACTCAATGGCGCCTAACACAACAGCAGTGAACACCAAACTCGGTTAACCAGTGAGGCAGAATCATTGCGATTGCTGATGAATAAACTGTTGATAATACTTGAGACTGTGGTGTATTAGAATCCCTCAATCCACAGAAATAACATGAAAGTAATGAAAACCAATAATTTGAACCAGATCCTTGATGTATTTCGTTTTCAAGGAAAATTGCTGTAATATCTAATTAGCATACTCACTAAGCTGACATTTATTGAATGCATTAATGTGTAAGAATGAGCTTGGTGACTTGGAATAGTGGATGAATGTACTAAGATATCTTATGCCTCTTCTTAGAAAACAGCAATTCTTTGTAGGTACGTATTTCCTTACCCAATGATACTGGAAATTCTCTATGACCCTCAGAAAACTTTGTAAAGCCATAATCCTTATGTCAGTATTGTTGTTGTTAAGTGCCGTCGAGTCGGTTCTGACCCATAGCGACCCTGTACAGGGTTTCCAAGGGTGTAAATCTTTATGGGAGTAGAAAGCCTCATCTTTCTCCTGCGGAGCGGCTGGTGGTTTCGAACTGCTGACCTTAAGGTTCGCAGCCCGATTCGTAACCACTACGCTACCAGAGCTCCTTCATGTCAGTATAGCATAGGAAAGAAGAGAGTAGCAGAAATTATCTAAGCCATCCCCAAACGCTGCTTCTGCTATCACAGTGTGACCCACTTTGATAAGCTAGTAGGGTCACATATTGTTGTTTTAGGACACTGCGTATGCCGTTTCTACTATTTTGAGAGTTTGGAGTTCTTAACTGGCAAGGGTAGTTTTCATGATCCTAAGTGAATTTCACTAGGAAGAGTGAATGACCAATAAAAACAGTGTCTTTCTTTTTCAGCTATCATGATCAGTCTTGTACCCCCCAAAACAAAATTTTAAAAAAGGCACTCTATCAATGAAGTAACCACTGAATATTCTTAATATTAGTTATTTCGCAGTGAGATTTATTTGCATAAGTTGTGTTTGAACTATCAAAATAAGTTTATATCAAATTGTGAACACCCAACTCTCTACAAGAAGTTTAACTTGAAAATATTTCCTAGACTATATGATGATCAATGAAAACTTGTCCAGTTATGTGTGTTATGCTTTTTAAAAAATAATAGAATAAATAATGACTGTGGAACATTTTCTAAATTACTTAAGATAAGCAACATGAGGTGGAAATTCCTTCTCCAACTCAGAAGGAAAAAGAGAAGAAGAAGAGGCCAATGTCTCAGATCAGTGGAGTCAAGAAGTTGATGCACAGCTCGAGTTTGACTAATTCAAGTATCCCAAGGTTTGGAGTTAAAACCGAACAAGAAGATGTCCTGGCCAAGGTAGAAAAACTTCAGGGATGATGACCTTAAATAAGTGATGATGAGTCTTAATGAATTCTGAGTCTTCTAAGTAGATTAAAAAAATGCATGCATGTATGTGTGTCTTTGAATATGTTCTATAAAGTTCTTTCTAAATTCCTTAAGTTTATTAATATGTGAATTTAGACAGATAAGCTTTGTGTGTTCTTTAGTTTTGATATCTACATTTTAGTCCTTGAACTCAAAAAACTAGAAATCTATTGTATCTTTTGCATACCTATATTATCTTTTTTTTGGAGAAATAACTAAGGTTTAATGAATGAGTTCTATCTGCTGAAGAAATGCTTTGAGACTCTGTATGGTGTTAGCAAAATCCTAAAGTTAGTCGGTGCTATTCAGTTCTCAGTACATGTAAATGGACTTGCTTAAACTTTGCCTGTATTTATACTATGAGTCCATTGCATTTAAAATTAATCATTTAAAAATTATCAATATTTATGTTAAATCGGTAACTTATTAATGATTGTGTTCTTTGTTTCATTTTGTATTTTTTTTTTTTATCTCTCATTAACCCCAGGAACTAGAAGATGTGAACAAATGGGGCCTTCATGTGTTCAGGATAGCAGAGTTGTCTGGTAACCGGCCTTTGACTGTTATCATGCATACAATTTTTCAGGTAACCTGGCTAGCTTTGTCACTTTTATTTTATTCAGGAACTTAATGTCCAGTCTAGGGGCTGCTTATATATTTTATCTTCTTCATTACTCATCGTTTTGTTCTTATTTTGATATTTCCCTCCTTTTACTAAGGAACAAATAAGGATGCCTTGAAAGTAGTTAGAGTGTGGGCAAAATAAAAAAACTCACGTTTTTGGCTTTTCTTTCCATTTAAGAAAAAGATACAGTATGGGAAAATTAAAGGAATTCATTAAAATAATAGTTTAAAGATACTATATGTGACCCTCACTAGTCCAGATAATTGAATGTTAACTAAAAAGTGAATAAGCTCCTTGCTGACAAAAGCCTTAAGTGTAATTTTTTTATTTACTTTTTAACATACTGATATCATCTCCACATCCATTTCTTCCTTGTATTGAACTTTGGTTCCAGCTCAGGCTTGGGATTTCAGTGGGAAGTTGAGACTCCACCTACACAGGGACTGGAATGGCAAACTCCCCCCATAGGGAGAGGGTTGAGTTTCAATCAGCAGACTGTAGTAGCCAAGTCCGTGGGACTGGACTAAAGCTGCCTCCATGTTGATGAAACGTGGGACTTTGAGAGCTGGCAGTTCATTCCCCACACCATACATTTTGAGAAAAGCACAGTTCAACTCCACAGAACTCCATAGGACAATTGACTTAATGTCCCTGCATCTTCCATTGGTTACTTTTTTTTTTTTCTCGCTAGATATGAGCATGCCATTTTCATTTTTGAGTTATCTGTTGACCATGCTAGCATGTGAGTTTTCTGTCAACAATGCTAGGGAAATTGCTCTTTATAGTCTCTCTCTGTATATAGAGACAAAAGTATTTAGAGGAGTTCTTGTTTTACAGGAACGGGATTTGTTAAAAACATTTAAAATTCCGGTAGATACTTTAATTACATACCTTATGACTCTCGAAGACCATTACCATGCTGATGTGGCCTATCACAACAATATCCACGCTGCAGACGTTGTCCAGTCTACTCATGTGCTACTAGCTACACCTGCTTTGGAGGTAAATCTGCTTCCTAAATGTCAGGAACAATAACTTGCCAATGATGTTGCAAACCCTTAATTTTAATTTTTTTTTACTGAAGTGTTTACAGAAAATAATTGGGTTTTCTGAGAGTGAATTGAGTTATAGGGGATGAAATAATAAACAGGTTATTCATTGACAAATTTTACCTGTGAAAGTTGATCCAAGTTTTAAGGATTCTTGTGTTTATGAGATTGCTTCTTTGAAATGATACATTTCATAAAAGGACTTCTGACTTACTCAGTTTTGATTAATTTGTTTTCTTGAAGTGTAATTTGATGGCTTTTGTATTTATAGTTGAAAGGATGATTATTTCATGAAATAGCTATAAGCAATGCATTGATTTTTTTCTCCCACAGAATTTATTAGAAGGAAACACTTCTATAATTTTATAAAATCCTAAGAAGTTATTCCATCAAATGTTTACTAAGCAATTTGATTGGCTTAATTGCTTTGGGAAAATATTTTGTTTAGCTGATATATTTGGTAGTTAAGATTGTTTCCATTGTAAAATGTTGTTATTGCCTTATTGTTCAGATCAGTAGTCCTGAACTGAGAGTGATTCCATCTCCTAACTGTTACCCCATCAGGAAATATTTGTCAATGTCTAGTGTCTTAGCCACAACTAAACTGCTTACATTTAATGGGTAAAGGCCAGGGCGGCTGCTTCTGCTCATCCTACAATGCAAAGAACACCATCCCACAATAATTGTCTGACCCCAAATTTTAATAATACTGAGGTTACACAGCCCTGGTTTGGATGAAAAAAAATAAATAAAAAATCGTTACTCATGTCTTACTAGTTTTATGTTGAATAAGTATGGCAAAAGAATACAACCTTGTCACACACCTAACAACAACAACAACTAGTTTTATATACATTTTCAGAGTATTCATAAACATCTTAAGTATTATAAAAGCAAATTATTATTTTCTTTAAAGAATTTCATGTACTCCTTTTATAATTTTATTTTAAAATTTAATCAATGGAAAAGATTTGGTTATGAGACATCATAAAATTAGATAGAATATTTTCTTCCAAGATTGTACTTAAAAAGTCCAGGAGTATTTCTTACTTTATTTGTTCACTTTAAAGACTCTTTTGTGACACATTATGAGACTATATTTTGAAGCTTTGCTTTGCTTGCCATCTAAATTCTAGGAATTAGTTTCCAATTAATTATACTTCATATTCATTTTATTATGGACCCCTAATGCCATCTGTGTTGTCTGGCTTTTCTAGGCCGTGTTTACAGATTTGGAGATTCTCGCAGCAATTTTTGCCAGTGCAATCCATGATGTAGATCATCCTGGCGTCTCAAATCAGTTTCTGATCAATACAAGTAAGTGCATCTGCAGCACTTCTTTCTTGGCACATTTTAAACAACCTAGGGCTTTTATAAACTAGGTGTTCCCTTCATTCTACAGAGAGCCATAATCTTCAGAGATACGTTCTTTAGAGAAATAGTTTGTTTTAATGTAAATTAACTGTGGAAATGATAGTTACATACCCTAAGGCATATGATATTTGGAAAAAAATACTGCATTCTAGCACTTCTATGCAAATAATATAAAGGGGCTTCAAAAAGTTCATGAAAGAATAGAATGAAAAGATAATGATATTTTCCCAAAGACTTTTTGAAGCACTCTTGTTATATAGATGTGTTAATAGACTAATCAAAAGTAGAAGCTTACAGAAAGATTGGGTCACTGTACTGGCCCTAAAGTTTTGAATGAAAACAAGGCAACTTTAGTAAATTAATGTTAAAGCTTCTACATTTGAGATCGCCTATCATTTAATCTTATTCAGAATCTGTGATTACCCCTTCCTTTTCTACTACCTTGCCTGGACCACTTTTTTTCAATTATAAATGTCCTAATGAAAGCAATAGGAACATCTCTGTTAATTTGATATCTTTCAACCATGACTTCTTTTATTCCTCATATAAAGTCACCACTGACTTTGGGAACATAAGGGATGATGGTAGTGGTAGTGATATGCCGTTAAGTTGGTTCCTACTTATGGTGTCCCTGTATAGGGTTTCCAAGGCTACAAATCTTGAGAAGAACAGAAAGTCTCATCTTTCTTCCAAGGAGTAGCTGGTGGATTCAAACAGCTAACCTTGAACTTAGCAGCTCAGCACATAACCCACTATGCTACCTGGGCTCCTTTTAAAGGGATGATAAAGACTCTTTAATATGGGGCATCTCTAACATACTGCTACATAGAAAGCCTCTACAGGGACTATTTGGACTATGCCTTTGAACAGGATGGTACAAAACTTCTATTCATTTGGTAACCACTCCCTTTATGTTAAATAAATATTTTCAAATCATTTTTGTATGGCAAACATATTGTGCAAAGTTATTGAAAACGCTTTTTTATATTATCAATTACAAATCTTCCTTTCTTTTTTACTGCCATGGATGCTAGCCTTCTCCTACCTCATAGCATCCTCTGTGTCAATATATGCTCATTCGCCAATCATTTCCTGTACTTTGAAATAGCCTGATTGAGTAAGAGAATGCTAACGTAGCCTTGCTTTGAGAGATCTTACTCAGGCCTTTAGGGATTATTCAGATCTATTTTTACATCATTTAGTAGCCTTTGGGTTACCCTATACCAAAATGCATTTCAGTGAGTCACTTATGTATATAGGAGGATTGGACAATCATGGATTTCCTGAGACTATGGTTATTCAAGTGCATTTTAGAAGTTTGGTTTAAGAACTTATTTATTCAAGGTTAGACAAGATAATATTTCATGTTTCAATCATCATTTGAGAACCTGTAATGGGGCACTTCTGAGAATCATCAAAGCATTCCAAAATATTAATACCTATGTACTTTGATATCAGTGCAGCTGTGTGGGTTTGCTTGGTGGCACTTAATAACAACAACAACAATTTTATAAAAGTGCATTTTATCAAAAAAACTTAAAGCAGAGAAAAGGGCATGTATGTACCTTTGTTGTTGTTGTTGTTGTTGTTAAGTGCCGTCAGTGACCCTGTATAGGGTTTCCAAAGAGTGGAACCATTGACTTTATGGCTTTGAACCATTATGGATTTGAACCATTGACTTTGTGGCTCAAACCAACCTTTTGGTCCTTTGCTTTAATTAGGTCATATCCTTTAGTTTTCCCCAGGTCTACTGTTCCCATTAGAAAGATTATAAAATAATAACTTGCTTCACCTCAGGAATCAGAACTCAACAGGTAAATTATTCAAAGCTGGGACATTAGAAATTAAATAAATCAACTAGAAAAAAATAATAAAATGACTGTATATTTAGTCTTGGTGTGGCACTGTGGATTAATGTGCTGGACTGCAAAGTTGCTTTAAAATGCAAGGTCGGAGGGTCAAGCTCACCAGTGGCTCCTTGGAAACCCTATACAGGGTCGCTATGGGTCAGAGTCAACTTGATGGCACTTAACAACACCAACAATTGTAAAATGAAATAGAATTAATATGGGGGATACAGAAGAAAGGAACAGTCACTTGACATTTCACCCTCAAAGATAACGACAGTTTCATGATGGTGACCATTATTTTAGACTTCTGATTTGTATAGATAGAGTTTTTAATGCATTAGAAATCATGTTGTTGTTGTTAAGCGCTGTTGAGTCAGTTCCAACTCACAGCAACCCTGTGTAGGGTTCCAAGGAGCGGCTGGTAAGTTTGAACCGCCGACCTTACAGTTCAAACCAACCTTGGTGCTATCTAGTGTTTATCCTACAGTGCCACACCTGAACTCCTTAGAAATCATACTGTAGAGGTTTTCAAATGACCTTTTTGGTCTAATCTGCTTTGGACCTTGTTTCCTATTAACAAATAACTGCATTAATTCATCCCTTTTAATGGATGTTAACTTGGCCACTTTCTTCTGTCAATGTTGCTTTCAAATTGGGTGACTTTCTTAGGGTTATTTCTTTCTTAGAAAATAATGTAGATCTCCAAATATATTTTCCATACGCTAGTCAGAAAATGTTCTTTCTAGTCTTTACAATGACTTACATAGAAACAGAAGAAAGCACTCTGAATTTATTTATTAATGACTACATCATTGACCTGAAGCAGGAACTAGAAGTGAGGTGGGATTTTTACTCCTGAAGACACACAGGTCCAGGATAGTGGTAAGGGCACTGCAGAATTCTATGCCACAGGGTTATGTAGCCAGCTAAACACAAAGCTGTGAACTCAGCGGTGTGAGAAGGAAGGACAATGACATAGAAATGCCGTGACTCTGTAGGATAAGCATTGGACTGCAAACCACAAGATCAGTGGTTTGAGCCCGCCAGCCACTGGGATGGAGAAAGGTGAGGCTTTCTGCTCCCACAAAGTTTTATAGATTTGGAATCCCTACACAGGGTCGCTTTAACAGCAACAGTGACTACCATGATACCTGGGAAAGGAAATAGAATAAATTATTGTTAAGTGCCATCAAGTCAGTTCTGACTCATAGCGACTTTGTATAGGGTTTCCAAGGTGTAGCCGGTGGGTTTGAACTGCAGACTTTTTCATTTGCAGACCCGTGCTGATCCTACAGTGCCACACTAGGAGTCCAATAGATTAAATGAAAATAGAAAAAATGGGGAAAAAAGCAATGCCTAGAGGAAGAGCAATATGACCAAATCTAATATTGTGTATGTTTTATTCTTGTATCATCTCTCAGTGCAAACAATCCTAAAATCACATGATTCTAACGTTATATGAGATTGTTGTTTTTAAGTGCCTGTTGAGTCAGTTCTGACCCATGGATTCTCTGTATAGAGTTTCTGAAGAGCGGCTGATGAACTTGAACTGCCAACCTTGTGGTTCAAACCTACTTTGCAGTCCAGCACATTAACCCACAACACCATACCAGGACTCCAAAATCACATGATTCTTACATAATATGAGATACAGGTTAGATGTTGTTGTTGTTGAGTGCCTTTGAGTCAGTTCCCACTGGCAGCGACCCCGTGTAGAGTTTCCTAGAAGTGGCTGATGAGTTTGAACTGCTGACCTTGCAGTTCGAACAGACCTTACAGTTCAGTGCATTAACCTGCAGTGCCACACAGTTATCAGGAGTATAACAGCTAAGATGTGGACATGTTGCAGATGTTAGGAATAATATATTCTAGTAAGTTTATAAAAGCTACATGTTTGAAAGGGAGGTTGAAGGTCATCTGATGTAGCTCTTCTTTCAATTTAGAAAACAGGGAGCTGAGGGCCACAGTGACTTGTCACATGTTAAGAGTATTAGAATTCACACCAAAGGTCCCACTGCTCTTTCCACTGTTACATTATCCAACATTTCCTCTTGTGGATGTGATCATGTAAGGACAGCAAGAGATGTTTAAGGAAAATGGCATTCTAAATCCCAGGTATCTCAGAAAATCAAGAGTAAGACAAGAATCTTTGCTGATTTCCCACCTCATGTCTTTCTTTCAGATTCTGAACTTGCCCTGATGTACAACGATTCATCTGTCTTGGAGAACCATCACTTGGCTGTGGGCTTTAAGTTGCTCCAGGAAGAAAACTGTGACATTTTCCAGAATTTGACCAAAAAGCAAAGACAATCATTAAGGAAAATGGTTATTGACATTGTAAGTAGCTGGTAACAAGCATAGAAGAGAACGGTGATACAAGTTGTGTTTTGTTTTTTTAAAGAAAAGAAAAATGTAAAGAGCAATGATTATCTGGTGAGAAGAATTGTATCTCATGTTCGAGAAAGCTTCCCCAGCTGCCAGCAGTGATGTCCTATAATAGGGTTTCTACTTTCAGCAGTTTGCAGTTAAGAATAATGACAGCTTACCCTCATTATTCATGCTTTATTTTCTGAGCTCCTCCGGTCTGGTGGCAGGCAGAGAAAGATGACTAACAAAACAGAGTGGTGGCTGTAGCTCCGGTGGATTTTTTTCACCATTTTTGGTTTTGTCTTAGGCAGTTCTATTTAGAAACGTCCATGACTTTCTTCTTTTCTTTATGTGTATTATTCAGTTGTGGTTATTAAACACAGGAGAATTTCTGGTTATCAAAAGCTTTGTTAAATGCTGCACATTCAAAGGCTGGAATTATTTGTTTAGGATAAGCAGAAAATTAATCAGAATATTCTGTTTCTGAAGCATTCTGCCGTCAGCCTTGGATCAGTTCATCATTGTCCAATAATCACTTTCTAATCCATTGTGTGGAAAAACTGCAAACTGTGTGATGCTATTTTAGAGAGAGATTATTACTTTTGTGACTGCCACATGGTTCTATCTATTGTACACATTTATTTGCACTTCCAGAAAACCTAACAGCAACAAAACTTGACTCTGCTCCAAGGAGTAAAGAATCATCTATACACTATTACCAGATGTCATAGGTGTCCATTTTATTTTTCACTTACAGTTCTGCATAATACTTTTTGTATGTAGATTCTGACTTTTCCTCTGGAATTTTTGCTTAGTAAACTATCTATGCAATGTCTTTTAAGGTACTTGCAACAGACATGTCGAAACACATGAATCTTCTGGCTGACTTGAAAACTATGGTTGAAACAAAGAAAGTGACAAGCTCAGGGGTTCTTCTTCTTGACAATTATTCTGATAGGATTCAGGTAAAGCTTGATTTCAGTTTGCTCTTTGTGAGTGTCTGTGTGTGCATGCGTGTCTGTGTATGTGTCTGTGAGTCCAGCTTTGAATAAGATGTTTTGTTTTGTTTTTTTCCTTTCTCTTTAAACTTTTAGTAATGATCAGCAGGGTTTATATCTAAATTCTTATTCCTGAGATTTAACCAAGTAAAATCCTACTGGTGGTCTTACTTATACATTTAAAAACAGAGCAACGAACAGCCACAAGACAGTCACTTGAAACAACTCTGAATTTAACCAACTTTGGACATAAACAGTTTTTCATATCTGGAGGCAGTAAAAGTGGCATGATTTGGGACTATTAATACAAGTGTGAACCACACAGAGACACAGCATGGTTGCGCTGTTTGTGATAAATTTTGCACTACATGTATTTTTAAGTGTTATAGTCATCCGATGTGAATTTCTAGTAAAAAAAAAAACGAAAAAAAAAAAAACCCAACAAACCAACCAAAGACCAGAAAAGGTGCAGTTGCTGAGTAAAGAATGCATCCATCTATTTTAGGTCCTTCAGAATATGGTGCATTGTGCAGATCTGAGCAACCCCACAAAGCCTCTGCAACTGTACCGCCAGTGGACGGACCGGATTATGGAGGAGTTCTTCCGCCAGGGAGACCGAGAGAGGGAGCGTGGCATGGAGATCAGTCCCATGTGTGACAAGCACAATGCGTCTGTTGAAAAATCACAGGTAACGTTAATGCTTTCTGAGAGAAGAAAGTCAGCCACAACTTGTACATTTGGTCACTTTGCATACACATCACACAGTATTCTATAGGGCTTTCTTAAAATTCCTCTTTTTGATAACCTCAATGTCATATCAGTATTTATGAGCCAAGAAGTGCTTTTCATTCTTACACCTTAGATAATTAAAGTTTATGTAGGAGTCGTGATTAAGCGCTGGGTTGCTCACTGAAAGTGAAAGGTTGGTGATCCACAGCAGCTTCACAGGTGAAAGACTTAGCACTGTGCCCCCATAAAGATGTCAGCCCAGAAAATGCTTTGGGGCAGTTCTTCCTGTCACATGGAGTTGCTATGAGCTGATAATTAACTTCATGTCACCTAACAACAACAGTGAGTCTATGGGTGACAGAAACAAGTAATGACTGCTGCTAACCAAAAGGTTGGGTCTACCCAGAGATGCTTCCACAGAAAGACCTTGTGATCTACTTTTGAAAAATCAGCTATTGAAAACCCTGTGAAGCACATTTCTACTCTGGTACACATAAGGAGATCTGATTCAGATCTCCAGCAACAGGGCAGAGTACATGGCACTGTTTCCGTTATCTGGATTTGCCTAGACAGTGGTTCTTCCAGCTCTCAAACCATACCACATAAATAACTGAGAAATGTTCTGCGCTGTATACATCCTCTTCAAAAGAGGTTTCTAGAAGCCAGTTTTAACCAGCTAGTACCAACACTTTTATTTGATCTGTTGTCTAAAACAGTGACTATTTCACCAAAATAAGATGAGTAGTCTTTGTTCACTTTTGTTGAGTGTTAGATCTGTGAGCCATGATTTAGTTTCTTTCTTCCCTTGTCTTTTCATCCCAGGTCCCTCAAATTTGATTCTTTTTTTTTTTTTTTTTAAAATCCAGGTGGGCTTTATAGACTATATTGTTCATCCTCTCTGGGAGACATGGGCAGACCTTGTCCATCCTGATGCCCAAGACATTTTGGACACTTTGGAGGACAACCGTGAATGGTACCAGAGCACAATCCCTCAGAGCCCCTCTCCTGCACCTGATGAACAAGAAGAGGGCCGGCAGGGTCAGACTGAGAAATTCCAGTTTGAGCTAACTCTAGAAGAAGATGGTGAATCTGACACAGAGAAAGATAGTGGAAGTCAAGTGGAGGAAGACACTAGTTGCAGTGACTCGAAGACCCTTTGTACTCAAGACTCAGAGTCCACCGAAATTCCCCTTGATGAACAGGTTGAAGAGGAAGCTGTCGGGGAAGAAGAGGAAAGCCAGCCCGAAGCATGTGTAATCGAAGATCATTCTCCCGACACGTAACAGTGCAGAGGTTTTCACACCCTTCTTCTTCTTCTTCTTCTTTCTTTTTTTTTTTTTAAAGTAGAGAAAAATAGTTCCCAAAGTGCATGTCACATGCCACAACCATGGCCACACCTCACTGTCATCTGCCAGGACGTGTGTTGGACAAAACTGATCGTGGTTACTCAGTCTGGCGCTCAGGAATATTGTAACCAGTTACTCCACTTCCATGTCATCAGATCAAGGGGGGCATGGTCTTCATGAACAGCATTTTCACAAGAGTTCAGCTTGATAGAGCTGACCAAGCAGAGAAAATCAACTCCCAACATGTTTTGAAAGGAGTGTGGCTCATCAGACAGCCCGGAAGTTGCTATGATTTGGGGTCTATTTTTGTTTGTTTGCAGTATGTTCTGAAGAAAGAAGGTATTCCACAGTAGAGTGAACTCGAGGCTGCAGCAGCAGATGCCTCGGGAATAGAAGACAGCCTGAATCTGTTTCCAGGAAGAAGATGGGCCACAAAAGTTGCTTACTTTTCTAATTTCAAGTCTTCCTGATCCATGACTGAAGAGTGTGGCTTAATGGGCTACACTGACCTCTACATTTTGTATGATATGTAAAACAGATTTTTTGTAGAGCTTACTTTTATTATTAAATGTATTGAGGTATTATATTTAAAAAAAAAAAAAGAAAAGAAAAGAAAAAGAAAAAAACAACAACTATATGTTCAGAACTTCATCTGCCACTGTTTTTTTGTTTGTTTGTTTTTTTCCTAAGGAGTAACTTGCAAGTTTTTAGTACAAATCTGTGCTACACTGGAGAAATCAATTTACCAATTTTACTTGCACCTTATAGTTCATAGCAATTAACTGATTTGTAGGGATTCATTGTTTTCTATACCAATGACTTCCGTATTTTAAAAGTCTATGGCACAGGAAACCCTTTTTTGTAGGTCTTCATTTTCTTTGCTTTTTCAGTTCCACTCCTTTCAGATTAGCAAAGTTGCTCTCCATTGGCATTTTGTCTTCACAGTGTGCAAAGTGACTATTTGTTCTGTAGTACTTTGATGTGCGTTTTGTCCAGTGTTTCTCAATCCTCATGGAAAATCCATCATCCATTGGTGTTGTCTGAAGCAAGTGGGAGATATATAAAAACCCAGTAGCTAAAGTGGTCAGTCTTTTTTAACATGTTTTCCTACCTAGTGTCTTCTTATACCCTTTGGTTGTGTTAAAGAACCTTCATTTCACAAGTGCATGTCTCTGTAATAACCTACACATTTCATGCTCCTTTTTAATTGTTTTTACAACCATTTGTAGTAAGAAAACTTTTTTGTTCCTGCTTTGCTGCTTTATTATTTGGTGTGTGTTTGAACCTCTGTCCTTGTTCTGTAGATGGGATCTTATCAAATACATTGCCACCAATCTGATGGATGAACTAAAATAGATAAAGTTAGGGGGGGTAGTATTCATTTATGCCAGGAGGTCTTACACAGTGATTTGCTTTTACTCTTGGTTTACAGAGAAAAGTTAATGGCTCACTAGACAAATCTTAATACTCATAGAATATATATATATATACAAACACCAGTACAAGTTCCTTTTTTTCCATGACTCTACCATGTACTTGAAAACTATATGAGGAATGTCCTTGAGTAGTTTTAAGTGTAGCAACTACTCTTTCTTAATGGACAACCACTGTCGGTCTGTCAGTCATCAATGCTCCATAGGCCTGCCTGGTAGAGGAGAACTACATGTTTAAATATAGTGAGCGAGGGAGAGATTGATGATGTCATTAGCACTTGGTGTCCTTAGGTGCCATTGAGACTCATAGTGGCCCTATGCACAACAGAACTTGCACTGGAGGGTTCGTGATGCCATGCTTCCTTAAACTATTAGACTGAATAGGAAGATTTTGCCTGAATATAAAATCAGAAGTCGTTCCTGGAAGACAAGTTTAGCAGAAAAGCTGTATTGTAATTTTAGGGATTAATGAATTTACCTACTAATAACAATTGATGTCGTCTGGCATTTATCTAGGTTGGACTCTGCTCCCCATTTCAGCTCTTAATTACACATTCACCTTACCATCTCTGTGAAGGGTTTGAATCCCAGGTAATCATTTTCCACACTGATGGCAAAGAACTGAGACAGAGACTAGAAGGGTGTATCTGACTAAATGGAAACGAAATAAAGGCATTTAGAAAAAATTGTAAACCCTGCAAGGGACTTCTCAGACTGTCTTCTGGGGGCTAATAACTAAGCCCCCAGCCAGAGAAATGGCACAAGATGAAGCCAATTCCATTGTAACCACCTGAGAACAACCTGGCACTTAGAACCTTTGTAATGAAAATGATGTATTTAGAAGCCTGATCTATTATAAAGAGCTGTAAATCAACTATTTACCAGATTTCCACCCTTCTCCTCTTACAAAAATCAAGTCGACAGACAATAGTGTTTTAAATAAAGAATCATGTTTGACCGAGTGTTTTCTCAAGGATAGTTGGGAACTGGTTTCTGTTTTAACTGTCTTTATCCTTGGTGGATGTCCAGAAAGGAGTTTACTCCTCCTCTTCCAAAATACACTCATCTCCTTCCTTCCCTATTTCTTGGAAATTTCCCTCACAGAGTGCCTGGAATCTTAATGAAAAAAAGCAAAGCAGCAATATGTCACAAATCCAGACTTGAAAGGTTTATAACTGCACTAATAAAGGTAACCTCACTCCTCTCCCCCAGTTTGTTAGTTGTCAATAGTACCATGTTGTGAAGATACCAACAGATGGACAGTCAAACTGTAGGAAAGACATTCTATCCAAGAGACAGGGACTGATACACTATACAAACTGCTTATCCTCTCCTTCCTTTCTCTCTGTCTCTTCTCTTGCCAAAGTGTGCTTCTGAATTATACCACTGCTTCGGGGGAAAAAAATCCTTTTATAAGTGATTTGCATTTTCTAAAATGCCATAAGAAAATGCAACATCTGGGTACTGTATGGGGGAAAATACCTAAGTTTGCATTAAACTAGTACATTTCAGCTTGCAAGTTACTGAACACAATAATGCTGTTTTAATTTTGTTTTCTTTTACATCAGCTAAAATTCACAAGAAAATAGTGTAGATAGAACAAATTGTAGTCAAGGGGAAAAAAAAAACTTGAATGAAATGGATTTTACAGAAAGCTTTATGATAATTTTTGAATGCATTATTTATTTTTTGTGCCATGCATTTTTTTCTCACCAAATGACCTTACCTGTAATACAGTCTTGTTTGTCTGTTTACAACCATGTATTTATTGTAATGTACATACTGTAATGTTAATTGTAAATTATCAGTTCTTATTAAAACATCATCCCAGGATGGGGTGGTGTTGATATATTTGGAAACTCTTGGTGAGAGAATGAATGCTGTTGTATACATACTCCTTGTATATTTTCTTTTTCCTGTAATTTAGTCTTGTCACCTTAGAGCTTGTTTATGGAAGATTCAATTAAACTATAAAATACATAAAGATATATAAATTTAAAAAACATAGCTGCAGGTCTTTGGTCCCAGGGCTGTGCCTTAACTTTAACCAATATTTTCTTCTTTTTTGCTGCATTTGAAAGTAAAGTAATGATGGGGTTAGGGCTGGGCGTTTTGAAACTTGTTCTTGAATCTATTGATTACTTGCAGTAGCTGGATTTCACAAAATCACAACCAACCTTTGGATGATTCTGAGACCCTTTTGGGATATAAGCTCAAGTACTCCTTGCCATGGAGCACCACTATATAACATAAGAAATTTTCCCCATCTTTTGATCAGTAACTACTTCAGTGTGTTGCATTTGATTATTTTCTACTTCAAACACTACTGGGAAAATATATTCTTGTCCAGTGTTCATAAAGTTTTTTTTTTTTTTATTTCTAGAGCACATGGGAAAATGAACTTGATTTGAAACCAGAATCATAAGTCACCCATATTAGTTAGCCATCTAAACGTCATCATGTTAAGAAGACATACAGTATGAGAAAGGTGAATTGTGCACCATAAAAATTTTACCCAATAAAGATCGACCAAACTTCCTTGTACATATGTAAATCCATCTATGTAAACAAAGTTTTGTCTGATGCCAGTCCACATAGCATAGAGGCTTCACCATTCCCTAAACCTTTTTCTTCGGCATTTCACAAACAGTCCTCGGGTTACGAACAAGATCCATTCCTAAGTATGTGTCTAAGTTGAATTTGTAGGTAAGCCGTTACAGGTATACCTGATTCTTATTTAGCTTTACTTTAGTCCAAGAAACAGTTTGAAACTTTAATGATTTAGAAGCTGCACACATAGCAGACGAGGTGATTGTGATGACTTTGTGGTGAGTAAGGTCACTAGGAGTCTAGAATTGTTAAATGCTGTCAAGTCGGTTTTGACTCATAGTGATTCTATATAGTGTTTCCAAGGAGTAGCTGGTGTGTTTGAACTACTAACCTTGTGGTTTAAATCGACCTTGTGGTCGAAGGCTTTATCCCGCAGCACCACACCAGGGCTCCTTGAGTCTAGAATAGATAGATGGTACTTATCAGCAAAACGTTTGTTTCAGTTGGCCCAAAGTGAGGGCAATTTTATATAACATTAATGGGCAAGTAGGAGTTGACTTGAGGTATCAGCAAGTTGGACGTTTGTAACCGGGGACTGCCTGTACTATATTTATTTAAGAATTTAAAAAAATTAACCTTTCATAATAGCCAGCTCCTGAACGCTAAGAAAAGTTCATAGTGGACCATGTGGAAACCCACTCCCATTGCTGCCCAGCCCTTGGAACATGTGACTTATCAGTGAAAGGAGAGATTCTTTTTCTAGGAAAAATGAGCCTCCTATTTTCTTTATTTTTATGTTTTGACACAAACTGTAGATTTTAGCAGCCCTGGCCCAAAGGAATTTGATTACTTTTGTTTTAAACAGTATAAAGTGGACACTATAATTACAAAAACTATCCTTACTGATTTTAGTTGTTTCAAACTTTTTTCCTTTGGAAATGTTTTCAGAGTAGTAACGTGTGTGAGCATTACAAATGATTCTTTTAGTGGTTTCTTAGCCTCTCTTCAGCCCATGTGGATAGTACTGTACATCAATACCTTCATATGAAATTTTTATATGCAGTGGAAATAAAAGCATGGGT